CAAATGATAATTCATTCCACGTAACTTTTTCTCAACTGTTTATCATGTCTCCCCCTCATGTTAGAAAACTAACTTGTTTCCTCAACTTTGAGAACCCATCTTTGTGCGTTATGATGTTAGTCAAAATATACACCGCACATCAATTATAATAAGATGGAATTATTTGGTTCCTCACCCTGAACCACTTGTGAGGGGAGAATGTAATATACTTTCGTGTATAACCTATATCAAACTGATATAGATGACTTTGTTCTCGTAAGCACTTGTTTAGCAATTAAGTAGAGGCACTTAATAAATCATTTTGCTAAACCAACTGTGATGTAAACCAACTTATCAAGATGAACTTCTTGAATAGCAAATCTGGAAATTATGCTCGAAATTAAATTAGTGAGCAAGTTACCTCGCAAACACTGGCCAGGTTGCGGGTTAATAATAATCGCACATGTAATCATCTCATAGATGCATCTTATGTGGTATACATGGCAGGTGAATGGGCCCATATTCACCTTTGATATTTCCAGCATTAATGGGATTCAATCCCAATTTTAATTGGTCTATTAATTAATGAGAACAAGCAACGTAAGAGAATCCGTAAAGAACTTTCTAGTTCTTTAATATTTACCCATACGAACTCTCTTTTATTTTTGCACGTCATACTTAAATTGATATGGCTAAACTAGTTATGCCAACTGAATAAATTATCAATATTGATAAATTTCAGATTTACACCATGACGTGTGCAATTATCAATAAACTCCAAGTTTATTATGATATGGGTTTTATATCAATAAACATCCACTTTATTGTGGTATTCTTTTATTTGTGTAGTACAAATTGGAGAATAAAGCGGGTAGCTTTTCACATACATATTACCGCGCTACAAGTTGTAGTAATAGAAGATATTAAATCTTTCCTTTATTTATAGTCTCAATATAATCAACCGCTTTCGCATATACTTTGGAAACTGAATAAGTTTCTTTGAGACTTACTACAACACAATACCTTATTGGTAATCAATTGTGTTTCTCCAAAATAGTATAATTGGCTCTTGCAGAGTTCTCAATTAATTTTGCAGTACCACATATTCATCAACACCTATATGGTGAATATCTCTTTTAAAGAGAAAGTTATACCATTACGGTTATGGTCAAAATTATATGCAAGATCTGTTTCTTGCATTGCCGTTGTCTTTTAACAATCACAATGCCAAAATATTTTGGCGTACAATAGGTACGTGACCAATGACCATTCATGCCATAATAATGACATTATTTTCTTATATCATCTCAAACCTCCTTTTAGAGGTGAGTGCGGTATATTCACTACCACTAGCACGTTCATATTCTTTGAAGAATGAATATGTATTCATAAATCAGATGTTGTCACATTCACATCATGAATGGACCATAATCATCTATATGTGCTTTACAAAATCTCATGTCAAATCGATGACAAATATTTTTCACAGAGTGAAAGATTATTTTGAGAATCCTTATTGTTCTCATTACCACAAATGATGACGATTATAATTTCGTCTATTGTCACGTCCATATCCATTGATACATTCATAGTAATAATTTTGTCTTCTTTCAGACTTATCACATACTGCTATCACATTCTCTTAAGGGAATGAGAATGGAGCAAATTCAATGGGACGGGTTTTCAATTCTTTGCCCACAATCATACGTGAATTTGATCATGGCGGGCATAGAAATTTTACCACTTCATGTGGTTATAATTTCTTACAAACTCCATTAGAGTTATAATCAAACTTTGTTGTCTTTGCTTGTATTTAAAATCAAAGTATAGAATAAAAGAGAAAAATACGGTAAAATACTTACCTTAAATCCAGAATTTAATCATGAAAGAAGTTCATGGAATAATTGACAATCATTATGCTCAATCCCAAAGCTTCTACTCAATTGGTTAGAGTCTCGTGCTGATAACGTGTTATGAACAATAAAAGAAGAAGAAGAGTATTGTAGAGAAAAGTAGAGGGAGAGAATTCTTATTGATTTGGGATGAATTACAATGGAATAGAACCCTCTATTTATAGGGAGAGGGTGACTTAGCCACCAAGCAATGAACCCTAGAATCTCTCTAAATATAGACATTCACCATAAATATAATTCTATTTATAACAAGTTTGTTCTTTTTTCCTTAAATTTTATATTACTCACTACACTTAGTTTTAATGTAATGCATATGTCATTTCGTTCAGCATTATTTGCACAGGACACAAACGTGCAACGCACGACGTTTAAGAACTAGTATGTACAATAATAACTGGCTGAAACTAAAACTGAATAAGAACAAAAAACATACTAGTTTACAGCTCTCTGAATAAAATAAAATAAAATACCATTAATAGAAACTAAACAAATCTTTTTCAAACTAAAGACGATAATGAGATAATGTTCTCAACAAAGATACTAACATTTCTTAACAGAAAAGGATTGGGAAACACCAGAGAAACTGGTGCACTAATAATGCTTGCTGTTGCTAATAAAACATCTGATAACGTCATCTTGTCAATCCTTTCTGCTTCAATCAATGCAACCTTCTCCTCCAAATCGGGATAATTAGAGTTCTTCAATCTCATAAAAATATTGTTAATGTCATCGTATAGCAAATTGCGATTTTCACGTCTCCCGTTATGGTTGAAGCAGCAATGTATAACCAATTTTCCCCGTAGTGCAGTTTGCATTTTATTTAGGCGAATGAGACTGCAATATTTTGGGGAAAGTTTCCCAAAGTTGTCCGTTCTGAAGTTGAAGTAGTAGATACAAATACAATTCAATGAATAATCAGTTGAATAAATAACCCCGTTGAGGAAAATACATATCTTAGGCTTAAGAAAACAATTAGACGGCATATGGATTTTTCTCCAGGAAGAGTCGATTCCAAGAGTTCGAATTTTAGTCTCAATTACTCCATTACCGTTGCTTTTTCCCACAATAATATGAAGCAACTTGTATTTTCCTGATATCGAATCAAATCCCAGAGAAAGTTGAGGATCCAATCGGCGTCGCACGTAAATTTCTTGAGTCGTAGAGAGCGCGACAAAGCTTTTATCTCTCCTGTTGTGACATTATACAAATAAGTCTGAGTATCTTTAAAGCTATACAAGCAAACAAGACCATTGCAATAATGCGAACAAACACTCATTTGATAATAGTTGAAATAATGGCGAGGCGCGAGTAGTTGTAAAGAAAATCTTTCTAATTCTGGTCTTTCCTTTTTTATTGAAAGATCGCCTTCCATACGAGGACATACTTCTACTTCAAACAAAAGGAGGCGGGTGGTGGAGGGACGGGCTAGAGAACGAGCATTGTGCAATTTGACAAAGTCGGGATCATGTTAGGATCTGGAATACTATGTCATCAACACAATGCTTCTCCATAATTGATTATGGAGAAAGAGAAACAAAAGAATTTTTTTGGATGTTTTCACACAAATTAAGAAATCCACCTTTTGGCATTAATTAGCAATGGAATTGACTATATTAACCTTTACTATCTCACATAAACACTCCTAACACATATTCCAACACCATTTACTTCAAGGACAATGGAGAAAAAAAATAATTAATTCATTCTTGAATCTGAAAAAATCACTTATTTTGGACCACAAGAAAAAGGCCAAAAAATCACTTATTTTGGACCGGAGGGAGTATGGCTTTAGGGCAAGTTTTCAATATTAGGGTTGGATCGGACTCACTAGGACTCTACGGCAAGTTTTCAAGTTTCGTAATTTTGTTACTGTTTGGACTGTTGTGTTATTGACATTAATAATTAACTAATGAAAAATTCAAACGGTTTTAAAATTATGATCTTGGTATGAAATTTATAATTTGTGGTTATGTATTCCTTAGATGAGGTTAAATATAAGAAAATTATTCTAGTAGGAAAGAAATTGTATAGTAACTTGATTTCTTTTCCTATAAGTTAGCACCTTTTTTATGGGAACACAATCAACTGATCCGAATTCTTTCCCCGATCCTGCGTGCACTCCTAATGCCTTGTACACTCAAGTGATCCTGATTAAGCTGTGATTGTTTGAGAATTAGATATCAAGTCCCTTGGTACTAACTAGCCAATACCTTGCGTAAAAGCAGGGGTGTCAACAACAACAACAACAGCCCAGTGAGATCCTACGGGTGGAGTCTGGAGAGGGTAATGTGTACCCAAACCTTACTCCTACTCCGGAGGAGTAGAGAGGCTATTTCCGGTAGACTCTCGAATTTGGGGTGTCAAATGGGCGGGTTTGGTCGATTTTGGGCGGGTCAAAATGGGCTGAATCAATAATTGGGTGGGTCAAATAACCCGCCCAAAAGTTACTTGGGCTAAGATGGGTTGGGTCAAGATGAGCTAAAATTCGGGTCATAACCTAACCCACCCAACTCTTATTAAGCTCTAATTAATATGTGTTGTTTTCTTATTAATTGTAATTACAAAATAATTTATTTTTGTTTTTGTCATGGTCATATATAACATATCAAACAAAAAAAAAAAATTTATTTCTAAGATATTTTGATAAAGTTAATTACTCATGCATCAATTTGGGCTAAAAATTAGTCCAACTTTAAGTTGGCTGAGATTGGTTAGGTCAAAATTGACTAAGTTCAATAATTGGGCAGGTCAATAACCAGCACGACCTTGGACGGTTTGGGCGAATCATTTGGCCTTGCCAAACTTGACAGCGCTACGTAAAAGCTTGAATTTGACTAAGATATATGCTCACAATATTCTAATCCTTGATGCAAAAGGAAGAATATATATTAATGAGAATTGCAAGAATAGTTTACACAAAGAAAAAGGAGAATGAAGATTCTCTCTACGTACTATTTAGGAGTTGGTTTTAATCATTAATGGATTCACTATTAGTTAACTCGCTTTAAAAGGTAGTAACGATTTAGACTCACGCATAATTAATTATTGAGATTAAAATAGAGCAATTTTGGTTGATTTCTTAACCTCTGCCAAAATTAAACTTTCAAAAGCAGCAAAAGAAAAAGATAATGAACTTTATTACAACAGTTCGATCCACAGAATTGCAAAAGATCTGTGGGGTTGACAACTTTCTTGCTATTATCACAAAGTTCTTGTTCCTATTAAATCTAATCACCTCAACAATGGGTGCATTTTTTCTTCTTCCAACTGTACACAATGACAGATTTGCAAAAAGTTTGTAGTAAAAGCTACTAATATTCTGAGCTTGAGGATCTGCTCCATGTTTTTCTCAAGTATTCATCTACGGAAGAAAGAGGGCTGCTTTGGTCCTGAGTACTGCTGCTGAAAGATGTGGAATTATCATTCACATCAAGTAATGCAAGACTTAAATGAGACTCTGCACTTGAATCTGGATATACTTCATCATCATTATATTCTTCTAAATTGTTATGATCCTCACCACTTCCACCATTAGCTTCTTTATTTCCATCTTTCTCCCCCTTCAACATCTTCAGGATCTACTCAAATAACAATATGGTGTTACAATCTTAGTGTTTCCATTCAAGAAAAAAAAAAGGAAAAATGTCCAAATTTACTCTATTATAAGAAACAATTATATTTTTGTTGGGGCAAAATCATCTCATATTTACCCTTGGAGCCCAACATGAATTAGGTCGATTCCATGTGTCAAAATACTTCAAGAAAAGATCTTAATTTACCCCTCTACTTTTGACGATGGCTTAAAATTTCTTCCAGTTATACTTCTGGTTGGAGCTTCATTAGGGCCGATAGCAAATATGAGACAATTTGCTAAGATAGGGATATGAATGACTCCGCACAGTACACGAACAGTAAATAAAATATTCTGTATAGTAGGCTGTATTCTTTATCCTCCCAAGAAAAAAGCCCCCATAATGAATTAGCTAGTTACCTGGTTTATGTTAGGACGTAGCCTTGCTGCTTGTGTAAGACAGAGTTTTGCTGCAAGAATCATTCTTTGGACTTTATCATCTTCTATATTCACATCCAAGTTCTCATCCAGAATTGCTTTAATATCCTCACTTTCTAACTTGGGTTTCGCCTGGAAAATAATTTTAGAGAAAAACTTAGATGAAGAGACCAATGAAGTTGTAATTTGGACTAAAAGTTACATTGCCAAAGTACAGATGCTTACCCACATGACCAAACTTTCTTGACCACTTGGAGTCTCAAAGCCAATAGCTTTTCTCCCTGATAATAGTTCCAACAGAACAACACCAAAGGAGTAGACATCAATCTTATCACTTACTTTCCCATACATAAAATACTCCGGCGCTAGATAACCAAAGGTTCCCACCACATCACTATGAGTCAAGTAGGATGCTTTTGTGGGTCCCCATATCGCTAACCCAAAATCTGATAGCTGAAAAGGAGAATTGACCAGCGAGTTTAAGTTCTATGAATTAACGATGTACAAAATATTTACACAATAAAGTCAATTATAAGATAATTACAGGTAGGTTTGACAAGCAGACCTGTGGTTCAAAATCATCACTTAAATCGTAAACGAATTAATGGTCTTGTTTAATGTACAATAATGAAATAACTGTCCTATCTGTTAGTTTGACAAACACACCTGAGGTTCAAAATCATCACTGAGAAGGATGTTTGATGACTTGACATCTCTGTGAATAACAGGCCTTGGACATTCATTGTGTAGGTAATTTAAGGCTTCCGCAATTCCAACGGCTATTCTGAATCTTGTTTCCCATTGCAAAACTGATTTGCTTCTTCCTGCTTTTGAAAATTGACAAAACATTAATAGAATACCTTGGATGTTTTTATTTTTTACAGAAATAAATTCTTGATTTGCAGCTTACCATGTATATTTTCTTCTAAATTCCCTTGTGAAAGAAAATTGTAAACAGATATCAGATGGGAATCCTCTATGCAAATTCCAAGTAAATTAGCAATATTCTTGTGTTTAACTCTTGTCATAATGTCCATTTCCTGCCTGAAATCTTTTCGCGCTTCCTCTGATGAAGTGGAAATCTTTACTGCCACTGATTTTCCATCAGAAAGTTGAGCTTTATATACACTGTTGCGCCCTCCTTTCCCGATCATTTTCTCTGCACAAATTTCCAATGTTTAGGAAGCAAATGAATTTAGAGAATGAAGTGTAGATAAAAGCTAGAAAAACCAACCTGAGGAGAAGTTGGAAGTCGATGATTTTAAAACATCATAGCTAAACCATTTGATGCCGGATGAATTTGCCTCAAGTATAAGCTGCAAATCTTTTATCAGCTGGTTACAAACTGATGCACTTTCCTTCTCATTACAATCCGTGAAGTAGCTTTTTTCCATCCCAAAGGCATTTCGCATCTCCTTTGGAGAACAATCGGATTTAGGACTATCTAACATAGATCGATTTGGCAAGGTCATCACCCATTGCACCACCGACATTTTTCTTACTATTTTAGCCGGTTGATTCAATGAACTCGTGGTTTGTAAAAGGGGCCAACCAGGAGTATCAGTAGCAAAATCTTCGGTAGGAAGAGAAATTGAACCTAGTGAAAGAGAATTTTTCTTGTGTTCCGCTAAAGAACTCACAGTTTCCTCTTTAGGATTCTCAGTATTACTCACTTCATAACTGAATCTTCCCATTTCAGGCACCTCAGATTCACCAAATTCAGATAGGCAATCCCTTAGAGTAGAACTTCTTTCTGATTGAAGACTCGGTTTTGGATCACTAAAAGAACCTATACTCACCGAAAACAGAACAAATTCAGCTTCTCTTATACAAAAAAGAAGAAAATTATAAGCTCATAAATGTGCAATCTGAAAGCAATATCAAACCTTTGAGTTGAGAACTAGAGCTTCTTCTAAAGAAAACCTTCCCATTGTCAACAGCCATAATCTCAGTAGTGATAGGAAGCCGCTTTGCGCAATATTTAGAAATTGAGGTCCAGCTCCTACACAAGTCCCTTTCAAATTTAATTAGCACGATACACAACGAATCAAAAATAGAATAACCAAAAACTTCTAGTAGGATGCGAATTCAGATTAGTCGAGCCGGTAGCTTTACTTACCCAAGAGTACTATGTTTGCTAGTTCCTACAACTACAGCAACTGCAGCATGGTTCTTTGCTTCTCTTACCAAAACTCTTCTAATTGAACTTCCTTTTAACACCAGAGAAATAATATCCACCTGAAATTCCCAACCAAAAACAACCCTACATCAATCACAATCGGTGGTTTTTCTTATTTTCCAAAAAGACAATTTATCATTAGGAAGAAAAGAAAAAAGGAAAAAGCAACCTGCTTTTTATTACATAAGCCATCATAATCATCCAAATAAGTGTCCAACAAAGATTTATCTTTTGCAATTGAATCTGAAAAAATAAGGTACAATATAATGTCAAGACAACAACATTTAGTTAACAAACAAAGCAAATTCAATTAAAACAAGTAAAAATTTAATGTACCGGCATTTCGACAAACATGTAGAGCAACAACCCTATCTCCAGGATTTGCAACTTTTACAATAGCCCAATTCAACAACTCTCTAATATGGCCGTCAAATCGAATTCCAACTAGCACATTTCTCTTTTCTGAACCTTTTTCCTTCTCAAAAATCATCTTGTTGACGGCCAATAGTACTACAGTATTTCTTTTTTATTGGCTGACCATACCAGAGAAATTATTGATAAATTTATATCAATTGCAGCAACCCAGAAAAAAGGGAATGCTCCAGCTGACAAGACAAAGGAAGTGTATAGCAAGACACTGGTCCAGAATATAAGCTTTGATCTGAATAGTCAAAAGCAAAATTAAAAAATTAACACCATTAACAAGTACAATAAGAAAATCCAAAATTTGAATGAATAAAGAAATAAAAGCAAACACCTTGAATGACCGATAACAGTATATCTTACGTATTGAATCTGCTAAAAATTATTTAAATAAAGATCCGAGTCCGACAACAGGAATTTACCTAAAGATTGAGCCCATATGTCGTAACAAGCCATTAAAACTTTGAAAAAGAAAGAAATGCCGCCAAGATCATATACAAAAAATTAATAGTATCAACTAAAAAACAAATAAATACATGCCAATGGTAGGTGCTTTGCTGACAATAAAGCTTACTTCAGCTTATGGACATTCTTCTTTTTTAATATTTTTTAAAAACTAGAAAAAAATAAAAAGAAGATAATTTTTGAATTTGATACCTAAAATCCTACTACTAAAGAAAGAAAGTGGGGAAGGGTAAGGAATAAAAAGTTCCCGCGAAAAAAGGGATGAAAATAGAGGTTAAAATTGTGTGATATTTTTTATTTCGTTCTGAAAAACAGGCAGGTAATTCGCGGGGAAAATACCGAGAAATAAATGATATTTGTTCAGTTAATAATAACCACCGACAAAATAGGCCTGAGAACTCGCTCGCGGCTATTGTTGCGAGTTAATAGTTGCCGCAACGTTACGACAACGGTGATATTTTCGAAACATAGTTAACAGCTTAAGATTTAACTCGTAATTTGTATTTTAATTTTCACATAATTAGTTAATAAAAAGAGAAAAATTAATTTTGACCGTGTTTGTAAAAAAAAAATTAAGTCGGTCAAACTAGTCTAAATTGAAAGTGTTAGGTAAATTTCTGAACTAGTCAAATTAATTATTAGGATATTTTTAGTTTATCTGTGCGAATTCGATAAGTACCAAATGCATATAAGCTAAATCAAGGTTATCTCCAACTAATTGTTTTTCTACTATTCCCTCGGTCTTATATTATGTGTCGTATTTCTCTTTTACACGCCATTTAAAAAATATTAATTAGGAAAGTGATTAGACTATATGTCTTAAATATAATCTCTCTTCAATGAATATTCATTCTATTTATGTGTTATCTCCATCTTCAAGAACAATTATTCTAAGAGTAAAAAAAAGAAAAAAATAATTAATTTTGTCTTGAACTTCTAAAAGAACAAATAATTTGAGATAATTATTTTTAGTAACTAGGACTGTTAATATGAAATAGAGGGAGTAATAAATACCTTTGTTTTGATTAACTTTTTATAACCCTAATACGTTTTGTAATCCTTGTAATATCCTTTACAAGTTAAAACTCCTTAGTTCCTCTCAATTCTATTTATAAGCACCTTTAAGGATATCTCAATCATTTTAAGAAAAAATATTTCTCAACAATTTATTATTGGCTCTTTGGAATATGGATTTTTAGAATTACGAAGGAAAATGCCTTATCAAATCCCAATAAATAAATAAAAAGGAGAGAAATAACTAATCGATCACCGTCCTTATTGGCGTGCTTCTATGCTAAGAACAGTTGTACTTCGGTCAACTTTGGGAGGTTCTCAAATTTTACTTTATATAATTATGACCAAATCAAATTTGACCTCCCCCAAGAAATTTAATCCCATTAAAGATAATATACTTAAAGGATAAGCACGATTATAATGGTTTTAAGAAAGACAATTAATACTTACAGAATTATTGGACTAATAAAATAGAGCATGGCGCATTATTAACTCCATATATATACCACCAAAGATGTCAAACTGTAGCTTCCTGATATCATTGTTGTTTCTATTTTGTTGTCCAACTATAATATAAGAAATGTCAAACAATAAATAAACTTTTGATAGGTTTAATTTAATTTTAAAACCAAAATGAAAACTCGGCGTAGGATGGACAAGTGTGACTATTCTTGACCACTAAAGGTCAATACCTTATTATTTATTCAGATGTCTGGTATCCTTTTATGGACCCGATTAATTCAGATTTGTATTAGAAATTTCACTTTTGTGATAAAGCGCTTCTCATCGAAAATAATTTCATTTTTAGAAATACTTAAATCTGAAACTTTTAATTAACGATGATGAGATAATTATCATTCCATCGCAAACCCATACCTTACTCCATCCTGGAAAAGTAGAGAGGTTGTTTCTGGGAGACCCTCGGCTTAGAGACAATAAATTCGTGACAACAACAGAATCCAGAAAAATAATATCAGTACCGTGAGAGACAACAACTAAATGAAAAGGCCATAACAGAAATACTATGCAAAAGTATGAAAAATAACATAAAGCGCTAGCAGTCATAGACAAAACAATATCAAACTAATCGGTACCATTATAGTAACCAAGTCACAATTACCAATTGACTACTTCATTTCATTTTCATTCCTTTATACTTTTGACTCTTGCTCGCTGCTCGAGATGGACTAAGAAGAATTTAGAAATGCAATGGAATTATTGAAAAGTTTCTCTTTGCCTTTTTCCTTACTCCACCTCCAAGAATTAACAATAGAGTAGTATTTTACTTATCTTTTTATGAGATCCAAACTTTCGAAAAATGAACAATACCAATACAAAATAATGTGGGGAATGAACAGTACATCATCCCAAAAAAAGAAAGAAGAATATTTAATCAAGAAACTCAAAATTTGAAGAAAAGAAAAAATACTTGTCACCTCTGTATATTTTGCTTTGTTATTTTTTGTCTCATTATTATCCTTTGTTACTTATCAATTGATCTACCAGAAGAAAAAACTTAAGGGAAAATTTCAAATAAGAATAATTAGGCTCCCTACTTTTCAATATTATAGCCATATTTCAATTTATAATCAATTAGCCTAAAAATAATAGGTTAATACTCAACATTCAACTCCAATAGATTCTCGAAATTACTATTTAATTTTTAAAAAAGATTGCTCAAGCTTTTAAGTTAACTTTTGAATCAGTAATTGTGACTCAAATATTAGTTCAACAAACCAAATCCACTTGGGTAGTGAAAATTAGATTTTTAACAAGCTTAAATATGTGAGTTTAAATTCCAAATTTGATTTCGTGAGAATTTTGGAGTGGGTATTATTTAAACTTGTTAGAAATGGTATAAGGAGATTGTATATAAAATTTGAAGTCATTTAATGGAGATTTGAACTGGTTTTGAACAAGATTTGCAACTGAAAATCGTAGAAGAAGTTCATTACAGACGTTTGTATAAAAGTGTATAAGATGTGTTTATACACTCATATACACTATTATACAAGATTATACAAAAAACTGGCTTCGTCTTCTTCCTTGCGTCTTTTCGGAAATTTAACTCAAATCTTGCTCAAATCTACTCCAAATCACTTCAAATTTAAATCTTGAACTCCTTTTGATATTTGCAGTCAATTGGAAAACATCCAATCCAAACAACTAACAAACTCGAAAAATCATATTCTGAAAGCAAAGCTTTGAATGGCCTTCTCAATGGTGGACTTTTACTTTTCAATTTTCTTACATCGCAACCAGGTGACACATGGGGAGAAGCAGAAAATACTCAGCCCCTTGAAGCATATGTAGAAGATGTGAGAAGAAGAGAGAGTGAAAGCACTGGTTGTGAGAATACATATTTAACTCCATAGCTTTTAGAAGCAATGATTGTAAGAACACATATTTTGAATTTAGCAGTGCTTTCAAAATATGTACAATATGGACTAGGTAGGGTAAAACTTAAAAACATGGGCCATTTTTTGTTATGGTGTGAAGTCATGTGTATTTTGTTGTAATTTTAATAGGCCTATCTTCCTGTTTTTTTGTTAACATCATATGATATACCAAATTAACTGACTAATCCAAATTAATTTTGCATAGCATTCTTAAAAGGGGAAGAACTTCCTATTAATTTTTTTTTATTTCCCATAATTCGAACCCAAAATCTTTGTTACTGCTACTAAATATCTTACATGTGGAAGGCTTCAATTATCAGACTTTATTTTAGCTTTAGCCTCCCCATCACAAAGAAAAAGAAAAAAGCAAAATACTTAGTGTAATCAGAACGTGGCGAGAAAAGATTGGGTTCATCCATTAAAAAAGTTTAAATAATCTATCTCCAACAAAAAGGAGAAAACGAAAACATATGTCATCCCTTCCTAACCTTTCCTAAAAATAAAACTTTCCACTAAAAGCTGATGATTCATTATTTCAAGTAATGTAAATATATGATTTTATTTCTAAATGGTTAATAATAGTCATTCAATGACATACAAGGATATGGACCTAGTGGTAAAAGGAGCGAAGAAGAATCACGAGGTTTCATATTCATATTTCAATAGAAATAAAAAAAAACAAAATATTAGGTACTAATTTTTTCTTTTATGCTTAAGATTTGATGGGCAGAATTATTTGATATTTGTACAATAAAAGTAAATAAGTATCCTATTAAATAGATAAGGTGTGAGCAAACTGGTCAGACACCTAACAATTTAATGTAAGACCAAAAGAATCAAGGTCAGTATATTGCAACATGTTTTGGAGAACCACCAAAGGATGTGGTGCAGTGGATGAGACTGCTCTTCCTTAACCAGAGGTTTCGAGTTCGAGTCCTGGGTATGGAAAAATCCTTGGTAGGGAGCGCTTCCCCCGAAAGGGGCCCTATGCGGCGTGAATCCGAATATAATCGGACTCTAATGCGGGTACCAAACACCGGGTGGGAAACAAAAATAAACATGTTTTGGAGAGGGAAGTGGGGTATATAGTAGTCAGCAGTCACTTCACTCTAAAATGTTTTTGGTGTGATGTCTTACTCTGTCCCAAATCGTATCAAGCACAATAATAGAGTCACCGACGATTTAGCACTAGTACCACATGTTTGTAACTTTTCGCGTCAATATCTTTTTTTTTTTTTCCCATTTAGTGTCTGATATATGTATTATGATCCTAATTAATTTGCATTCGTGTCGCATGGGATTTATTAAAGGGAAAGTGTATTCGCGTCAATATCTTTTTTTCTATTTAATATTTGATATTTGTACAGTGATTCTAACTAATTTGGATTCGTACCGCGTGAGATTCAATAAAGGGAAAGTGTTCTTTATTGGAATTCTTTTATTCTCATGGCTTAAAATCCAAAACCTATACTTAAAAATAGAGAAATCATATCTATCACTCTGTAACCCCGGATGATTTTCTCGTTAATATCATGTCCTTCGTAAAATTAAAAGGCAATGGAATAATATCTCAAAACTATATTCATTTTGTGCTAAAACCATTGGAAAATTAAAAGATAACAATAAAAGATCCAAAGAATAATTTTCGACATATTGATCGATAACTCAGAAATGATAGATAGTCATTCAGATTTCAGAATAATGAATTAACACAAAGCAAACCATGAGCTTGAGCATATTGATTGAATTTGTTCTGTCATTGAAGGAAAACGAAAAATATTTATCGTCCATGTAAACTAACGGTGATACATGAATTTTGTCAATCCATTAATCAACAAATATTAGTAGGAGTTGATTATATGAATTGGCAAAATCATTA